TTATATCATGTTTTCAGGCAACACACACTAATAGGTTCATAACTTTAATGTGTGTGTGTGTGTGTGTGTGTGTGTCTGTCTGTGTGTTTATTTGTCAAACTTTTAAACTAGTTATTTGGAAAGGTTTTTTTTGTCTTCAGGCTTACGTCCAATCACGTTGTAGCTTAAATGTTGGGGGGGGGGGGGGGGGGGGGGGGCGGAGCTTTGCTTTGTTTTGTCACAGTGAGAGAGAGTTGCAGAATCCCCATGGCAACCCTTTGTAACCATGGATACCCCACATCCAGCTCTACAGAAAACAGCAAGCTGACTGAGATCCCAGTGTGTGTGTGTGTGTGTGTGTGTGTGTGTGTGTGTGTGTGTGTGTGTGTGTGTGTGTGTAGTGTGTGTGTGTGTGTGTGTGTGTGTGTGTGTGTGTGTGTGTAGTCAATCAGTGTTGTGTCTCTGAGGAGGAAGTGACATCATCACTGCGGTGTTATCAGCAGCAAACAGAGACACTGAGGAGTGACAGCTCCGACTGTAAACAAACAAACATACAAACAAAACTATCTCTCTGTGCAGACGGTGTGTGTGTGTGTATGTGTGTGTGTGTGTGTGTGTGTGTGTGCGCGCGCATGTGTGTGTGCGCGTGTGCGTGCATGTGTGTGCGTGTGTGTGCGTGTGTGTGCGTGTGTGTGTGTGTGTGTGTGTGTGTGTGTGTGTGTGTGTGTGTGTGTGTGTGTGTGTGTGTGTGTGTGTGTGTATGTGTGTGTGTGTGTGTGTGTGCGCGCATGTGTGTGCGTGTGCGCGTCCGTGCGTGCGTGTGTGTGTGTGTGTGTGTGTGTGCAGGTGTGCGTGTGTGTGTGTGTGTATGTGTGTGCGTGCGCGCGCATGTGTGTGCGTGTGCGCGTGTGCGTGTGTGTGCGTGTGTGCGTGTGTGTGTGTGTGTGTGTGTGTGTGTGTGTGTGTAACTATAAAGATGAAAAGAAGCTGTATTTAGATTTAAATGTTTTTCTGAGTGTGAGCTTGCTTGTGTCTCTGTGCGCTCGTGTGTGTGTGTGTGTGTGTGTGTGTGTGTGTGTATGTATGTGTGTGTGTGTGTGTGTGTGTGTGTGAGTGAGGTTGTGGCGCCCCCTGCAGGCCGATCACAGCGCTGCAGAACATCAGAGGAGATAAAAGATGTTTAACTTTAAATATTAAAACGATTTAATAATTAAAGTGTAAAGTAGGAATGTGAGTAATGATCCGACATCGCTGATGTTTTCTCACAACTTCTGACCATAAATCATTTATTTTCATGTTTCTGAGATCAAATTAAAAAAAAGTTCTATATCAAAAACATTCATTAAACTTTAAATTGTTGAACTTTATTGTCTTCAACAGATTTGTGATACAGACATATGAGGCGTTTAAGAAATAATCTGTCAGTTTCCACTTAATGATTAATGAAACAGGACGAGTTTCCCTTTGAATCATGTTTAAAATGTTTCTGGAATTTCTCTCAAATCTTCGTTATTAATCTCATTAATTTAGTATTTTCTGTTTCTGTCACATTTATCTGGTGTTTAATACAATCTGACAACTGTCTCTGAATCTTCTTCAGCTTTTAATTAAAGTCTGAGTTGATGGAGACAGCTCGTTAGTGTGACTAATGAGCCGCTGTGTGTGTGTGTGTGTGTGTGTGTGTGTCCAGCTGTCAGCAGTCAGACTGATGTTGTGAGAAAATAACTTCTCCTGGCAAACACACAGACAAGTGTCAGAGCTCTCAGGTGATGAGTGATCATTTATCAGGTGAGTTATTTCAAACAGGACGGAGCCTAATCCTGTATGGGAGCAGTCTCGAATGCTGGGGGGGCGGGGCCTGTGGTCAGGAGAGTGTTGCTTACACACTGGGGGTGGGGCTTCATGTCCTGGTCATTAAAGGTCACATATTCTGTAAAATCCTCTTCTCCATGTTCCTCTAACTCTAACATGTGTCTCTAGTCCGTCTACAAACCCCCCAATGATGAGAAAAGTCCATCCTCTCCGTCTTCTGCCTGCTCCACTTTTCAGAAAATGTGTACTCAAACAGGCCGTTTGGAGGTTTTCCCTTCATGACATCACAAAGGGCAGTAGCCCCTCCCCCAGGTGGGTGACTCCTCCCACAGCTAGGTGTTTGTTCTGCCCTCTGAGTCTGCCTTCTCACCGTAAACAATAGGACATGTAGCGAGAAAGACCGAGTACACCCAAGACTTTCCAGAGAGGGGGCGTGGTCAGACACAGCTCATTTACATATTTAAAGGTACAGGCACAGAAACAGCCTGTTTTGAGCAGGGCTGAAATAGAGGGGTTTATAGACATGATCAAATACAGGATCAGAGTGGATTTAGAACAAGAAACTTCACACACATGTTTTGAGGAGCTCTGAGACTTATTTAAACTGAAGAAGAGGATATGTCACCTTTAATGATCGGTATCATTGGAAAGCACAAAAACTAAATCTATTTCATAAAGACAGGTGTGTGTATGAAGATGTAGTTATCCAAAAGTGCACTGGCAACGTTGGGATTTGTGTGTTAGACTGCACAAGTCCAAATGTTTCTAATGTTTTGGGGGGATTTAGTAAGTGTGCAGGACTTTGTCTGCAATGGTTGATTATTAAAACCAATAAATTAGACAATATTGGGTGTCTGCGACTTCTATTTTTATCGTCAGGGCAACAAAAAGGTTTCAATATCAATTCACTTTTACTCAAATCATATTAAAGTTTATAATTCTGGTATCTTAACAACTCTTATTTGTCTTAATCCATTTATGAAGATATGCTTTTTACTCTTTGCAACTTATTTTTTAAATGTTCATTTTTGGGCTTTTTATGAATTTATTTAGAGATAAGACAGTGGATAGAGAGATAGAGAGCGGAGAGTGACATGCGGGAAGAGGCGCCACAAGTCAGATTCAAGCCCTGGCCACTTGCTTGGAGGACATGGTGCACGCACACTAAACACTAGGCTACCGGAGCCCCACTCTTTGCAACTATAACAAACAAAAAGTAGACTTCCTGTAGATTTTCAAGTTACCAGACTAATTGATCTGTTCTCACATTGACCATCACAAGGTTACACTCGAGCCAAACTGAGCATGCCACATATTGCGCCGTCCTGTTAAACCCCTCCCATCAGGGTGAAATAGTGTGTTTAGGTATCTCAGTCTTCAGGTTGTTAAATTTGATTTCAGCACCATGGACAGCACCTGTGGGCTGTGTGGAGCTGTCTGTGGTGCTGACACACAGACAGGTGTTTATCAGAGTCTCTGAAATAAACACAGAGACAGTTTTCACCACTGATCAGTTGGTTGTAATCTTCAAACTGTCCACTAGAGGTCAGTGTTGCTTTAAATCTTAGGTGGATCTTTCAGACTGGAACACTGCTCCTAATGTGTTTTTGTATTTTTGTATTTTTCTTTACATCAGGTCCAAACATTAAGATATTATCAAAGTCATTAGTACATTTATTATTAAAGTTATTCTTCAAGGTATCAATAACAACCGTATTTAATATTTTCTTTCTTTAAATTGAAGTTGAAGGTCTCGTTTGAAGGCCACTCCTCGCCTCTGACTGATAAATAATGTTTGTACCTCACAGATGATCTGTTATTGAGGAAAGCAGGAAAACACTCCCTGTGATGTCACAACCCTGATGTGATGTCATCACCCGCAGTAACATTCAACTACGATCAGCTGACAGAAACACGGAGATGTCAGAGGATTGAAATCTGCTGAACAGCCGCCTCATTTAATCTCCTTTTATAGTGACTCTGTGTGGGTGTGTGTTTATGTGTGTGTGTGTGTGTGTGTGTGTGTGTGTGTGTGTGTGTGTGTGTATATATGTGTGTGTGTGTGTGTGTGGTCACCACCTGTTATATAACTGTAATGACTGGAAACACTGATAGAGGGATTCAGAGGCATGTGATGCTGACTCTCAGATACACGATCTGTAACTCACACTGAGCTGAGACACACACACACACACTTGCTCCACCTCAGGAAGTGATGTCATGCATCGCACCTGAAGAAACAAACACCTGCTCGTCGATTGGCTGAGAGACGTCCTCTCCCTGATGTCTTTAATGATTCTGTGAGACTGACAATGATCTGCTAAGGATTCAGAGAACGTGGACACACCTGTTTTACTGTTGTCTGTTATCTTGTATATCTTGTACAGCCTCTGTATGATCTCTGTGTTAGCCCCTCCCCCTCCCCTCCCCCGCTCTCTTTAATCTGCATCATCATCTGACAGAAAGACTAGGATGTTAATCCTCTCTCTCTCTTCCTGCTGCTTCATCGCTTTAAATCATCACAGTGACCACCTCGAGGCTGTAACAGACCTATGAATGATCAGAGTCTGTTTTATTGGGAATCTCAGAGATAATAATTAAAGGAAGAATGTGAGACTCTTTGATCCAGTAGCTGTTGCCCCTTGGGCACTAGCATGAAACCAAAACAAACTGCTGATCGAAGACACCTCCAACCCCTCTCCACTCGTCTACACCCAAAGTTATGAATTAGAAGTCACCATAATTAAGCACCATTAACCTTAAACGGTGGACAAAATCGTCCTCAACTCGAGCTGCAATCACCTGTGTCCTGCATAGGACACAGTTAGTTAGTTAGTTAGTTAGTTAGTTGCATAGTTAGCTCGTAGCTTCACATTTCATGTAAACTGACACAGAATGAGCGTGATCTAAAAACTCTTACTAACATCCAAATAATCAGTGAGTATGTTCTTCTTCTTCTCTCTAGTTCTTGACTAAAACAGCTTTTATACACAAGGGGAGGAGCCGGCCGTCCCGTCCATGTAAACACGGCTCTGACAACAACACAGCCAGCGGGACTCGAGCTTCTCACTCATTGTAGACAGTCAGGACTCAGAGACACATTTACACAGGACAGACTTTATGATTTATTTATGTGGAACATGTCGGGACGGTGATGTCACTGAGTACTCTGATGATGTCACTGAGTGTGTGGAAAAAGAGATACAAAGTTTAAACATTAGACTTTATTTTATTTTTAAAGAGACAAAAGGAAAAGTCATTCACTTTCTTGCATCATTTCCTGTTTCAATAGAACATTATGACATCATCATGACATCATCGTTACATTGCACATTATACAGCCTTGCTACAGTACAGCTGCTAAAGCTAGCAGCATGCTACAGATACAATGCCATTAAACTTTACTGCTAGATTAGCACGAGCTAACCTGTGGCCAGCTTAAATATCCTTTTCAGGTAAGGTCTGAAAAAATACTTTTAATTCATTTCCAACCAAATGGCCACAGGCTGCTTTCATCAGACGTCGACCAAAACTTTAAAAAAACAAAACAGTCCTTTTCAAACACTTTCAATAACCTTCAGACTTCAACACTTCCTGTCTCATGATTTACAAAACACACACACACACACACACACACACACACACAGTAGCAGCAACAAGGTAAGAGCACTGGAAGAGTTTCTTAGGTTAGTAAAGGCTTTTAAACTGGAAGGGCTACAGGAGCTAACAGGAAGTGCAACGCTGTGTCTGAAATTTAAAAAATAAGGTGATTTTTAAAAAACGCTGAATTAGCATGAGGTTTTTAAAGTTAACAACAAAGACAGAAAGAAAACACTGACATGTGAAGTGAAACTATGAACACAACGATACTACAGCATACACTTCCCAGAATGCACTGCAGCAGTGACAACAACATGAGATACAACGGTGGTGGGGGGGAGGGGCACTCATTAAAGAGTAAAGACACGTGTCCAACGCTCTTCGCACTGGCAGTGCCCACATCCTCCATTGTTGCTAGGTATGTGGACATGTTGTAGTTGCTACAAGTAACCATGGTTACGTGTTTCCAAACAGCAACGAGGATAACAGGAAGTGATGTAATGATCACACACCGAGCTGTGTATTTACAGTAAACAGATTTCAAAACTGCTGGGTATGAATAGCACAGGTGGATCTTTACCATCTACAGCAGTTACCATGACAACACAACCACAGTATGACACTTAATGCATAGCAACATCCAGGAATTACCCGTTACAACGGCGATAGAATACTTTCTGTTCTACCTCTAAACCTCAGTCACGTGCTCAGTGTTTCACGCTAAAATAAGTCGTTCAATACGTTGTTATTTAAACGATCGACAGTATCTGAAAGTACCAAAACTTTAAAAGACTCGTCTATTTCATAAGTCGGGTGTGAGAGAAGATTGGGTCCATCAAAGGTTGAATTGGCAACGTTGAGATTTGTGCATTGGACTGTCAGTTTGTGCAGTCTGACTCACATTTCCCCGATGTCTTTGTGCAATTTAGACATCGTTTGACCCACAAATCCCAACATTGCCAATGTTTACCTGCAATTTAGAAATTTTTCGGCAAAAAAATCCCAACGCCTCGAAGGTTTTGTGCAATATAGACGGTGTTTGACTCACAAATCCCAACATTCCCGATGTTTACGTACAATTTAAAACGTTTTTTGGCACAAAAATGTCAGCGCTGCCAAAGTTTTTGCCCAATTTAGACCTTCTTAACACAATTCCCAATGTTGCCAATGTTTTTGTGCAATTTTTACAGTGTTTGACACAAATACAAACATAATCAACGCTTTTTTGCAATTTCGACAGTGTGCAGACATTTGCCTGCAACTTTGATCTTTAAAAACAGGAAATTACCAAATACTGGGGATCTACGACCATGGTATCAAACAGATATCGAAAGTTTGACGCTACTTGAATTATATTAAAGTTTGAACTTCTGGTACAGTGACGACCCGGATGCTAACAGGAAGAAAACAGAATAATCACAGAGGATGAATCAGCTCTTCTCTCATAAAGGACAATCTATTGGTAAACATTTTCAAAGACACAATCGGTTGGATTGTCGATGCATATCAGCAGACGATTGATGTTGTTTGTTCGGGGGGGCAATACGAGAAAACCAACCGCAAGCCAATCAGAGCACAGGGTGTGGCCAAAAAATCATTTCAGAGGAACAACTCGTTAGCTTTTTCAGAGTAAAGAACTCGTTCCCTGCGAGTGCTCTTTTGCTTTTCTCTTTTTGAGCTTCTTTTTGACCTGCGGGTCAGAGCAAGACAAGTTCAGAACACCGTTATAAACCTGAAGATTTAAAATGTCACCAATGTGAGGACACTTTGAGAAGTACGGAGTGTTTTAGCTTAAAGAGGCTCAGGGAAAAATCTGAGAAGAAACTCCCAAAAATCTGAGACGAGTTCGGATTATCACCAACAGAAAAGGAGCCTGACTACAGCTCTGTTTTCAGTTTGACAGATGATGTTCTGGTTTTTGGTCATGAGGTTATCAGAACTGTAATGTTCCCGTTAAATGTCCCTGTTGTACCCCGGGTTAAACCACCATGTTTAACAGTGAAGGTGAAAGCCTGAACGTCTGTCGCTTTCCCAATAACAGCAGACGCTAAAGGTCAAGGGACATCGTGTAGTAAAGTGCAGATTTACATTTAGTCTCACATTGAGGCCTCGCTTGCATTTTCCCAAAAGTTCAGCAATCAGAAGATGTTTTGATGAAGACCGGCATGCATAGGGATCACAAAAAAAATGACTAAAAAACACTGTAGTACATATGCCAGGCCAGTAGTTGGCAGTGTGACTTTAAACAACATGCTCATGCACAAACAGAGGTGTGAGGTGTACACATACACATAAGGCTAACGGCTAACCGGCTGTTAGCTGCCCTTAACTAGCATAAAGGTGGATTCAGTACTGGGAGCGTAAAGTACAGCGTCTCTGCTGATTTGTTGCACTGAATATCTCGCTGATGTCTTGAAAGTTTGGAGCTGGTGATTGAAGACTTAAACTCGTCCATGTTGACTTCTCTGAGAGCTGGTTCAGGATCAGGACCGTCTTTTAGGGACAGGAATACAGAAACCCATGATGGTCTTTGGGAAGTCTGAACAATCTACTTGTGAATCTGGGTGAGACTTTTAAATCCTTTGGGATCGAGTGGATCACTTCAAAGAGTCCAGATCTTTTGGATCCTGTAAGGTCCTTTTGACACAGGAGTCTCTTCTGATCAGTTTCACTCGCAGTCCAGCATATTTAGAAGTGAAACTCACTATAAACATCCCTTTGTCACATTTTTTAAAAATTCCCACGAGCCCACCCCAGGTATCCAGCTGAGTCTGTGTCTGAACCCAGGACTTGTAGCCCGGGTTTGACTCCTTGATGGCAGTGAGGTGACCCAGTGTGCAGCAGGTGGATCAGTTTGGGCCCAGTGTTGGATCCTGGGAGATTAAAGTGTCAGATTCAGGCGACTGTTGGACTGAGACTGTTTGACCTCCTCGGCTTTGATCTGAAGACTTTTGATTCTCCGACTCTGAAGGATTCATAAAGACTCTGAAGGGGGGCTCAGGTGAGAATCTGTTGTTTACAAGACTGACACACCTGGATAAACTCTGGAGGACAGAACGTGTGAGGGGCGATGTAAGTCTTTAAAAACTCGGGAAAACAAAACCAACATGAGAACATGTCCCGTGTTGGTCTCACCAGTAGGGGGAGCTGGTCTCACCGCGGACCCAGCTCTGCCACTCAGGAAAGATCCCCGAAGAGGTCCTCGGACTCCCAAACGGATCAAACTCCACCCCCTCCTTCTTCTCCCCGGCCCGGTCTCTCTGGATGCTCAGCCCAGCGAGGCTTTCGGCGCCGCAGTGGGCGGAGTTTCTGTCCGGGTCGGCCACGCTCAGCCTGTAGTTGTCGCCGTCGTTGTTGTCCCAGAAGGTCTGCTCGGGCGTCCGGTACTGAACACAGAATTCAACCCTGTGCGAGGGCCCCAGGCTCTCGGGGACCAGGACGGAGAAGGAGAAGGTGTTGGTGTCGGGGCAGCCGTACACGTTGTTCATGTAGACGCCGGGAACATCCTGGAAGGAGCGCCACGAGTCGAACGTGATCCGCACCGCGACGGACTTGTCGAAGCAGATGTTTCGCACCTGAACCGTACCTGAAAGCAGGCGGTCCTGCACCGAGCAGGTCTCCAGACACACCTGCTGGGCTTTGAGCCGGTTCCTCAGGTCCAGGTAGTCTGCGGCGGGCTGAGTGAACTCTAGAAGGAGGGCGGGGCCACGACCTGCAGGAGAGGAACAGAGCGGAGACCGGTCTGATTATTCGTGAATGATTGATCGTTCATCTATTTGATTTATCTGCAGAGTTTACTTTTTTATCAAATATTCATTTTTGGGCTTTTTGTCCCTTTAAAGTCTTTCTATGTGATTTTTCACCCTTAAATGTAGAAATCAAGTATCTCCTCTGAAAATAACTCTGTGAGTCATGACTGTCTACAATGGGTGTAACACCCGAGTCCCACTGTCTGTGATGTTTTCAGAGTTTTCAGAGTCCTATCTTCACTTTGTTTACATCGCCAGGACGGCCGGCTGACTCCTCCCCTCGTGTATAAAAGTTGTTTAATTGAGGGACTAGAGAAAAGAAGAATAACATACTGTACTCACTGCTTAACTGTGTTTCTAGATCACGCTCATTTCAGGTAAATTTACATGCAGTGTGAAGATACCAGCATAATAAAGATCGCTAGCATTAGCATGCTAACACAACAATGCAAGCGCGAGTTGTTTTGGTTTAATGATGGTGCTCAAGGGCGACATCTGCTGGATCAAAAAAATCACATATAAAGCCTTTAATGTAGAGGACAGTGGATGGTGTACTGTTCTTTCTATGTGTTGTACTTCACAAGTGTTAACATAAATAAACAGCCAGCCAAACTCCTTTTCAAGACCCAGGAAGTGAGCGTGCTCACTCCTTTAATCACTTCTTCTAAGTAGACAAGATGACAATGAATGGAAGTGAAACTAGAAAATAAAATACAAGCTGCATTTAGTAGTTGGCTATGAAACAATAGTTGAGTGTAAATTTACATTAAACTCCTATAAACATAACAATAAAATGTCTCAATATAGACGATCAAACATGTAAACAACAAGTTAGACGTACAGCCATCGCTTTCTGAAGGATTCAAACTAAGGATGACTTTGGATTCAACATGGAAACCCATACAGACACCACCATGCTCCTTCTCTGGTTACACACTTTCTACTTCCTGTTTCTTCACAGATTTCAAAATAAAAGGAACGGTAACCTTTTATTCAAATGACAATGAAACTTTGGCCTTTAACATATAAAACACACCAAGGGCAGAACAGATAGAGTTGGAGACCAGGGAGAGAGAGAGAGAGGGGAATGACATGCGGGACCTGTGGGATTCGAACCTGGGCCGCCCGCTTGGAGGACTACAGCCTCCGTACATGGGGCGGGCGCACTAACCACTGAGCCACCACCACCCTGCAGAGTTTCCCTTTTAATCTAAGTGTTTGCGTATTCTCAGATCTGTGTGTCACTGATCAGCTGCTCTCACCTTTGTCGTCTCCTAGTCGCAGTTCGGCGGTGGCGCCCTCTATCTCAGTCAGGTGGTACTGCAGCTCAGTGAGCAGGTCTTCCTCGAACTCGTTGAAGACGTGGACGGCGGTGAGAGCGAGGCCCCGGGAGTCGGCGAACACCACGCTCTTCTTTTTCTTCTTCTTGCTCGGCCAGGTCGGGCGGCCGTCCGTCTCCGAGCTCATCGCCGCGGTGGTCGAGACCGTGGTCGCCGTGGTGATGCCGTTGTTGCAGTCGTCGCAGCGCTTGGAGGTCAGGCAGGGTCGCAGCGGCTCACAGCGCGGTCGCAGCTGAGCGTTGTCGTAGTTACTGAGCAAGGTGTGCAGAGGGGGAGAGCTGGCCAGGCAGATCCTCATCGCCATGTCAACGGGCATGATGGGAGACAGCCCGCCAGGACGAGGGTTCAGGATGTGGAGGACCCTGAGAGAGAGAGCGAGAGAGAGAGGGACGAGTCAGACAGGAAGAGGAAGTGATGTCATGACCGTGTGCTATGTCATAAAGACGACAAACAGATGATGAGATGTTTTATTTTACAGGAAACTTCAAACTAAACTACAAGAAATAATATTTAAAGAGAGCGAGTAACTTGTTCCTACAAAATAAAACACAGACATCCATACACCATCGTCCCCTCTGGGCCTCCGTACATGTCCGTGTGTCTGCAGTCTGTCCTCTGACTTTTACTGTTCTGGTTTGTTTCGGTTGCTACGGAGCTCCTGAAGTCCCAAAAAAGTAAAAAAAGCGTAATTTATAATGAATATCATCCAAAATAAATGATGAAAATAAACTGTATTTGTTGTCTGATCTATTATTGATGCCTGTTTGTCGGACTGATCTGAGGTCAGTGAACGCAACCTGCTCAGACTCGAAGTTAAACAACGTGCTCAGGTGTTTCAAAACAACACAGAATAAAAGAGGAGAGTGAGCTCCACCTGAGAGAAGAAACGTGCAGGAACAAGAGCAACAGGCAGACAGAAGGAGACTTGAACAGACACGACAGGTCAGTCAGGACCCGGAAGCTGCTGTGGCGCAGTTTGATAACACTCTCTCACCTGGTGCAGTTCATCGAAAAGTTTCTCTGTCTGCAGACACCTCACCGCGCACGAGACGTTTCCGCTCCTCTTCCGGTTCTTTTATCTTTAGTTTTAATCCTTTATTTATTTTTTATTTATTTATCAGTCAGTTTTTTTATTCAGGAAGAAGTGCTGGTAGCCTGCGTGCGCGCTGAGACACGCCCCCGAGAGAGAGAGAGAGAGAGAGAGAGAGAGAGAGAGAGAGAGATGGAGAGACAGAGAGAGAGAGAGATGGAGAGAGAGCGAGAGAGAGAGAGAGAGAGAGAGAGACAGACAGAGAGAAAGAGAGAGAGAGCGAGAGAGAGAGAGAGAGAGAGAGAGAGAGAGAGAGAGAGAGAGAGAGAGAGAGGGAGAGACAGAGCGAACAGCCTATCAGCGCTCTGGAACGTCAGCTGCTCACTCTCTCAGCCAATCAGAAAGAGGTCAAAAAAAAAAAAAAATGAAGAGCGGGCCAGCTGTGTCGTGTGAGATGGGCGGAGCCTGTCAGGCAGAGGAAGGGTAGAGGGGGATTTTATTCCCTGAGGTGTGACTGACAGGTTCAGGTTGCTCTCTGTGTGAATAGGCTTTATAAGTGTGCAGAATATAGAAAATAAATAAATAAAATAAATAAAACCTTTATCAAATATTACATAAAAAGCTTAAAAAAACTAGAGGTTGAAACTATAAAGTCATGACTGAGGGTATAAATCAGTGGTGTCCAAACTTTTTTTGCTTGCGGGCCAAAATTGTCGTGTTAGAATCGCTCACGGGCCACAGGTTTTGTTTTTTAAAATATAGTTTTAAAAATAGTAAGGCTTTGTAGATCAGAATCAAAAGGCTCGCTAAAGAAACCCTTTAATAAAAGGAAATCAAATATTTTGATTTCTTTGTTCTACTTTATTTGTTTTTTTCTCAGAATCAAACCTGTAACGTGGTTCATGTTTTTGGAAAAGCTTTCTGCATTTAGCTCAGGTCATTAAATGGTTAAACAACAGTCTGCTTGTTTGCAAAAACTTTGCTTACGTTTTTTTTCCTAGTTTACAAAATAATGTGGAAAATAGTAAAAGCTGTAGATTTTAAAAAACAACAACATACATGTTACTGAACATTTTCTATTTTAGGAATATTGTTCAGCGCTTGTTAACATGAAAAAGAAAAATAAGATAATGTGCCGATCTTAATCAAAATCTTCTGATTCTTCATTTGAAGTCACGGGCCGCACTTTGGACACCCCTGGTATAAATCAACAGACAAGTGGCTCAACTTTGTCTTAAACGTCTATACAATCAAACTGATTTTTACAGTCGCCCCCTGCTGGACATTTAAAGGATTGCATGCCTACCTGTTGGTATTTTGATTGGACCAGGACACTTCCTGTCCAAGCCCCTTTGCAGATCATCAAAATAAAAGCTTTGTAATAATGTCAGAAGATTTTTTTTTAAGTGAATATGACTGGTCAGTCTGGATGTCCTGTCAGACAACACTGAGGGCTTTAACATCTGACATCAGCATGAGCAGCGTGGCCTTTTAAGGCTGCAGTCTGCAGAGAGGAACATTGTGAACCTTCACTGAACTTGGAATAACTCTGACACTTTACTCTGTTTCACTCTAAATAACTATAAACAACTCTGCCTTAACTATAAAAACTGTTTAACTCTTTTAACTTTGTGTAACCCTGCGGACTCTGAATTACTCTGTATTAGTCTGTTAAACTATGGACAACTTGGTTCTTCTTCTTTACTCATATTTTTGTGTTTTTGTTGCATTAATTGCTTTATGAAGAAAATCCCTTAAAAAACTCCCCTCTGCCTGAGTGTCAATGATGCTAGCTTAAATGCTATGTGATCTCAAAAATGAAGCTAATGTGGATTAAAAAAAAAACCTGCAGTTCCTCGAGTGTCCACTAGAGTCTGTCTCCTGCAGTGAGTCAGTCCCCATTGAGCCCCATGTTCAAATGTCCAACTTTACAGCTGCAGTTCCTCCAGTGTCCACTAGAGTCTGTCTCCTGCAGTGAGTCAGTCCCCATAGAGCCCCATGTTAAAATGTCTAACTTTACAGCTGCAGTTCCTCCAGTGTCCACTAGAGTCTGTCTCCTGCAGTGAGTCAGTCCCCATAGAGCCCCATGTTAAAATGTCTAACTTTACAGCTGCAGTTCCTCCAGTGTCCACTAGAGTCTGTCTCCTGCAGTGAGTCAGTCCTCATAGAGCCCCATGTTAAAATGTCTAACTTTACAGCTGCAGTTCCTCCAGTGTCCACTAGAGTCTGTGTCCTGCAGTGAGTCAGTCCCCATAGAGCCCCATGTTAAAATGTCTAACTTTACAGCTGCAGTTCCTCCAGTGTCCACTAGAGTCTGTGTCCTGCAGTGAGTCAGTCCTCATAGAGCCCCATGTTAAAATGTCTAACTTTACAGCTGCAGTTCCTCCAGTGTCCACTAGAGTCTGTCTCCTGCAGTGAGTCAGTCCCCATAGAGCTCTATGTTAAAATGTATAGGTTCCTGCTCAATTCTCTCTTTATGACAACTGTACAGGCTGAATCTGTTTGAGTTAAATTAAGGCTCAAATTGTGCATGCATTTGGTTTATCAGCTTCATAACTCCTATTCAGAAACCATTGACATCACTGAGACGCGTCCATTTTTCATACAGACTATGGTGGAGACTCAGATGAACTCTGCTGCCTGATGGACAGATTTTTGTTTTTATGTAAAAATTGTTGAAGGATTTAACTTTGTACCGACTGACAGAAAACCAGCTGAGTCATTCAGTAAGAACAATAATAATAATACTGTGTTTAATAGTTGGTCAGGTTAACGAGACATAAAGACATCAAACAGGAAGTGTGCTTCTTCACTTTGGTTACATCATCTGCAATAAAAACATCGTCAATAAAATACACAAGTGCTTAATAAAGTTGTGCAAAACAAAATAATACTGTCGAAAAAACACTGAGAACAAAGAATGAAAACATAAAAACATAAAAAGAAAAAGAAAACATCGTTAACACTGAATATGGCGTCTTTTCCATCTGAGGATCACAAACTCGTCACAGAAACTCCGTACCGTAAAAATACTGAAAACCTGAACACCTGTAGGGGGCGACAGAGAGCTGCAGGGGGCAACTTAGGCTCTTTTTACATGACAACGATTTAATTCAAAAAGGGGAAATCTATTGTTGCGTCTTGGCTGTTCGTCTACCCGACGGCAGCGTTTTTGTTGTTGCCTGAAAATGGAAGGTTCTGAAAAACAGTCCCAGAGAGCAAAGTTTTGAAAACGGCACAGTTTCAGTCGCCGTGTAGACAGTTAAAACGCCGTTCCGTCTCTAAACGGTGGCGTTAAGCACATGCTGTTCCACACAATAGCCATGCACAATTAGATGGACTACAGCAATGGTGGACTCTTTGTAGTTTAGGGTCACTTCGAGTAACAACCTCACCTCATTGTCCGTCTATAAAAGGTTTGTGAATTTACTGTTTTTGTACGTTTACACCTCACCGCTCTGAAGATGGAAGAGCATGCGCGTGTTGTTTCATTACAAAGTTACATCGCCATCTTCTGGTCTGGAATGTAAACTACAGCGTTTTAGCCGTTTTTGCTGAGCCATGTTCAAGGCGCTTGTCTTTTGTTAAACGAAACACAACCCCGTTTTCAGAGGATCTTTCTGTGTAAACGTGACCTTAGACCTGCAGGGGGAGACAGAGAGCTACAGGTTCCCCCAGGTGTTATTTAACCCTTTGTTATCCAGACTAATGAAGTCTTGTTAAGCCCCGTTTTCTCTGCAGACTGTTGTTACAAAAAGGAACCCACAGGGGGCACCCTATGCAGGAGTGTGTCTCTAACAAAGTAACAACGTTGGCATATGTTTAGCTCCTCCCACTTTCCCTTCAGGTCGTCATGATATTTGCATAAAATAAGAACTACACACAGTTGAACTACATGCTAATGCTACATGCTAACGATGGTAAAACACCGAGCTATCAGCGAGCAGAGTCAGAGGGTTTCATCCTGAAATATCTGAAAGTTTGAATCCAAACTTTATTTAAAGCTTTAAATTCGGCCTCAGAAAGTGAACTCCTATCCTGCATCAAAAACATCGACGTCCATCGTTCTGTTAGCACTACATAAAACCCTAAATTATTTAACCAGACAAAAAGTTAAAGTTGGCTCTTTTTTTTTTTAATCTTGAACCATCTTTCTGTTCTTTGGCATCACTTTTCTTACCCTGATGGATATGTTTACAGCTCACCTCTACCGAGTGATCCTTCACATTTCTGTCTCTTCTGACATAAAAAAAGTTAATAATGATAAAAAAACGTTCCTGGTGTGACCTGCAGGAGCTCCGAGGGTCGTCCAGAATAAGAAATAAATATGCTCTGTTGGATAAAGCAGCAGAGCGATGGCTTCTTCAGGTTTTTTTTTTTTTTAACTAAAAGAGTCAAAAAGTGAAAGTTATGACTTAAACAGTGCAAACAGCCCGACCCTGATACCCAGAACAACAACAAACAGTTCACTTCTGACCCCTCAGAGGACCCCGTCATCTGCACAACATCAGAATAATTATCATATAAAAAAGTGTTCTCCTCCTTCATTTTGATCTGAGTTTCTCTTTGGATCAATAAATTAAAGATGTTTGATTGGCACAGACCTACGGCTCGTCTCCATGACGACATCACACCTGTCTGTGAGGCACTTTGTAACTTTGGTTGTTCACACTCAGTACTTCTCATATTTCTGACATTAAAACCAGAAGTGACCATATTTGGACAACAGGGAGGAGCCGTAGAGGGGCGGGGGAGGGGGTGGGGGGTGGGACTCTCTACAGACAGATGTTGATGTGTTTGGCCAGCTCTCGGTCCAGGTCGTGGATCAGAGTGTCGAAGTCCTTCAGGCTGAGTCGACAGTTAAATGGAGCGTCGAAATCCAGGAAGTCCTCAACGTATAGAGCTCCTCCTGCTCCTGATGACCACGCCTTCTTCTTCTTCTTCTCCTCGTCCTCCTCATCCCCGCTGCCTGAAACAACAACATCAACAATATAACAACAAGGACGGAGAGTGACGGGTCATCATATTCTGATGTCGAAACACGAGTCAGCGCATGTTAAACTCGGACCAGTCAGCAAATGTTTAACTGGGACGAGTCAGCATATTCTGATCTCAGACACAACCTCAAGTCAGCAAATATTCAAAAAGTGACGTCTGAATTTACCTACAGTTCATATCGAGTTGTGTCAACAGGAATTAAAAACTGTTCTACAACAGAACATTACTAACAAAATGTTGTTTTTATTGACCTTTTCCTTTTCCGACTTAAATCCAATTCAACTCGTCTGGACTCGATTTTAAAAATTGAGTTTCAAATGGAGTTGTCTTCACTTCAGAGCCAGTCACATAAAACACCAAACCCATAACTTATAACCTCGAAAGAACAGAAATAGTTTCAGTTTTGAAGATGCTTACACATCAATATGTCCTCTGCCTGCTGCAGAAAGCCTGGCTGCCATCTTTGTTTTGGTCAGGTCTAGGGATGGGTGTAACTTGGACTTTATCTTGACCATAATCAACACTCTAATCAATACCACATTCCATTATTTTGGTGCAAAGATTTAATCGGATGATGTTAATATTCTCCAACATATTTTAACGTTGCAGCTCTGGAAACAGATTCTGAGACTCTCTGTTCTTTGGTCTCTCTCCTGTTTGACTTAACGTGCAGCTCTGGCTATTCACACTGAGGACGTCCTGAGTAGAAGATAACCCCGGACACCTAGCCATTCCCCCTTGACTTGAGTTTTCAATTCAGCTCTTATGTTTCACTGGTAATCGAGAAAACTGTCGAGGAACATCAGGCTTCATGATCGAAGTTTTATTCCACGTTGCAGGTGTCTCTTTCTCTGCTGTGAGTCTGATTCTCTGTTTGTTAAAATGTTTTTAAAGGACACATTAAGGGACTGAAGCTCCGTTATCAAATGAAAACAGAGTTTAAAATGAAGTCATGTAAATTGTTAATAATGAAAGGAGCACCGATTGTCCTTTAACAGATTCAGATCAGAACAATCTGGTACAATCGAAAAAAAAAAAAAAGGTTTTTGACAACCATCGATAATCAAATCTTCAGTTTACCTCCGTCGCTCTCACTTCCTGCCACTTCATCGTAGTCGGCGTCGTGTCCGGTCAGAAGCTCCCGACCGCAGACACTCCAGTCTCCAGCGTACCGGTTAATTGGCGGTGGACTCTCCAGCCGGGCCAGACCACCCCCGTCCCCGCCGTGACACCACCACCTCCTCCTTTGGGTTCTGGGGCAGATCCAATCGCAGCGCAGGATGCCGCAGCTGCTGCTGGCCCGGGGGATTATGGGTAAGAGAGGGGGAGGGAGGTGGTGAGGCGTCGATGAGTTCGTCCGCTTGGACTCGATAGGTCGGCACTGACGAAGAAGAAATTAAATTCATTAATAATAATAAGCAAAGGTAGTTACCATGGCAACAACAGTGTATCACAGTGGTTAATAAAGTAAAGTTTAAGTTCCTGAGTTCCTCTCTCACCTGGCCACAGCTGCAGCAGGTAGTGCAGAGCCTCGATGTGTCGTTTAAAGTCCACCGCACTCGCTAGCTCCTCCCCCGGACCAGACCCCCTACCTCCCCCTCTTCCTCCCCTCCCCCCTCCTCCTCCTCCTCCTCCTCCTCCTACTCCTATTCCAGCCCGCCAGGCCTCCTGGGTCGGGGTGAGGAGAACCGGGCCGAAGCAGACTGCCAGGTTCTGGTGCGTCATCCTGTTGGACGAGCTGAAGGACGCCACCAGACTGAGATGATCCAACAGGAGGGACAGAGTGGCCTGGAGAGAGAGACAGGAAGTTAACTCACCTCTGACATCATCAAACGTTGATTTATTCCCCTCAGTTTACATTTTTCCTCATGAGTTCACTTGTTTCAAGTCGTTTATTTAGTAAGTTATGATCGCATTCATTCAGTCAAACAGACCAGAAAGCAGGGTAGGTTTTAGGGCGGCAAAACCTGTGACTGACAAGTTCCTACCATGGCGACCATATTTGGACTAGTCTTGTCCAAATATTTTCGCTTCTTGTTAATTTAAGAGGATTTGATACAATTAGCAGGAAGTGTTGTTGCAGTAAAGTGTGGTGTACCCTCTCTGGAGGCGGCAGGCAAGATAACAGCTCCACAGTGCTCTGGGACAGATCAGGGTCAGGTGTGTCAGGTAGGACAGGTGGGGGGCGGAGCCTCATGGCCTCCCTCACAACCTGGTACAGATTCCTGGTGATGAGCTGAGACGGAAGCTCCCGCAGGTAGTCCTTTAGAATCCCTGAGAACACACAGGACAAGAACAGTCAGGGAGAGTAAAACTCAACAAGTCTACGAGTCAACAAGTATACCAATCAGGAAATCAACAAGCTGAAAGTCATTAAGTCTACTAGTCAAGTGGTCAACAAGTCCACAAGTCTAAAGTCACCAAGTCAACAAGTATACCAATCAGGAAATCTAAGAGTCAACAAGTCAACAAGTCTACAAGTCAACAAATCTACTTGTCAGTAAGTATAAAGCTTAACAAGTCAACAAAATGAATTCACGAGTTAGATGCAAGTCCAAGTCATTGGTCAGGTGCTAGTCTTTGAGGTGTAGTGACCTGTAATGACGTTGATGTCGGGGTAGAGGTCCTCGCTGAGACACACAGCCGAACTGTTCCTCTCAAACCAATCCCTGAGCTCCTTCTTCACTGCCGCAGAACCACACAGTCTGTATAGACCCACTACCTGAGAGACAGACAGACAGACAGGGGCACTGATAAGATTCAAATCCAAGTTCCTCTGAGTAACACTTAGGATACATGAGAAAAAAAACACCCCCTGTGACACCAAATTTTTAAAACATTTCTGTTTCTTCTTCAGGATTTTATTTACTTATTTCACAAATGAACTCCAGAGAAGAAGAAAAAATCATCATGCATTTGTTCATTTATCTGTTCTTAGTGTTTATAAAAGAGGGGGAATAATAAAAAGCTGCACAGAAACCTTCAGTCCTCTGCGTTCGATCTCTGCCACTGTTTTCTGGATCAGCAGAGGGACCGGGGATGTAGATCCTTCTTTCTCCACCAGGTGGTGCAATTCAACCCCAAACACATTAGCAGGCCCTGATGTGTCACTGCTGGGCTGCAGAGAAAATTAACACTAACAATTAACAACTACATTTAAAAGATATATTAGAACTCTCCAACAGCAGTAATTTCATATTTCTTTATTTTGGTCATTTACATTAGTGGAGTGTGTTGATAGTTAAAACTTTGCTTTGACTGTAATATATACCAACAGTATGAAAAGCAAAAAAGAAACAGTTTTAAGTCCTGGTAGTCACATTATTAGTTTAGTGTACCTGTGTGTCCCATTTCTCCTGCAGCGACAGTTTGACGTAGATCAAACCTCGGGGCTCAAGCTTCACGCAAAGCTGCTGACATCGACTCCCTGTGACACAGAACATATCATCAATAATCATCTAATCAATACACACAACATGATGAATACCTAAACTTCAGCGTGATGAACCTTTAAAGAGAGGGGGGATGGAGACTCCGCCCAGACCACAGACCCTGTTCCGGCTGTGACCAACTGAGGTCTGATCTGCTCCTGGTTTAGAGCCTCCCTGTGTTTGTGGATTCACTGCAGAGACAGAAAAACATTAAAAACATTACAGCAGGGAAGCTCCAATGTGAGTTCACTTACCTGGAGTTCACTAACAGTACCTGGAGTTCACTAACGGTACCTGGTGTTCACTAACGGTACCTGGTGTTCACTACCGGTACCTGGTGTTCACTAACGGTACCTGGTGTTCACTAACGGTACCTGGTGTTCACTAACGGTACCTGGTGTTCACTAACCGTACCTGGAGTTCACTAACGGTACCTGGAGTTCACTAACGGTACCTGGTGTTCACTAACGGTACCTGGTGTTCACTACCGGTACCTGGAGTTCACTAACGGTACCTGGAGTTCACTAACGGTACCTGGTGTTCACTACCGGTACCTGGTGTTCACTAACGGTACCTGGCGTTCACTAACGGTACCTGGAGTTCACTAACGGTACCTGGTGTTCACTAACCGTACATGGAGTTCACTAACGGTACCTGGAGTTCACTAACGGTACCTGGTGTTCACTAACCGTACCTGGAGTTCACTAACAGTACCTGGTGTTCAGTAACGGTACCTGGAGTTCACTACCAGTACCTGGAGTTCAGTAACGGTACCTGGTGTTCAGTAACAGTACCTGGTGTTCACTACCAGTACCTGGAGTTCAGTAACGGTACCTGGTGTTCAGTAACAGTACCTGGTGTTCACTAACAGTACCTGGAGTTCACTAACAGTACCTGGTGTTCACTAACAGTACCTGGAGTTCACTAACGGTACCTGGAGTTCACTAACAGTACCTGGTGTTCACTAACGGTACCTGGAGTTCACTAACAGTACCTGGAGTTCACTAACGGTACCTGGTGTTCACTAACAGTACCTGGTGTTCACTAACGGTACCTGGTGTTCACTAACCGTACCTGGAGTTCACTAACGGTACCTGGTGTTCACTAACCGTACCTGGAGTTCACTAACGGTACCTGGAGTTCACTACCGGTACCTGGAGTTCAGTAACGGTACCTGGTGTTCAGTAACGGTACCTGGTGTTCACTAACAGTACCTGGAGTTCACTAACGGTACCTGGTGTTCACTAACGGTACCTGGTGTTCACTAACGGTACCTGGTGTTCACTAACCGTACCTGGAGGTCACTAACAGTACCTGGAGTTCACTAACGGTACCTGGTGTTCACTAACCGTACCTGGAGTTCACTAACAGTACCTGGTGTTCACTAACAGTACCTGGAGTTCACTAACGGTACCTGGAGTTCACTAACAGTACCTGGAGTTCACTAACGGTACCTGGAGTTCACTAACAGTACCTGGAGTTCACTAACAGTACCTGGTGTTCAGTAACGGTACCTGGTGTTCAGTAACAGTACCTGGTGTTCACTAACAGTATCTGGTGTTCACTAAGCGTACCTGGAGTTCACTAACAGTACCTGGTGTTCACTAACGGTACCTGGTGTTCACTAACAGTACCTGGAGTTCACTAACAGTACCTGGAGTTCACTATCCTTACCTGGTGTTAACACCACGATTCGGAGCTGCCTGGCTCTCTCCAGCTCCAGATTGAAGGCGTGGTTTAAGGACAGGGTGGGGCCCCTCAGGGTCAGGAGGGCGGTCCTTGCTCTGGTCACCCCATCGATCTGTATAGCGAGGAAGACGTCCTTACTGTCCTCACACCTGAGAGAGAGAGAGAGAGGAGGGGGAGAGAGACAGAGATCATAGTCAAGGAACCATTTTCAGAAGAAAAACACCATACAACAGGAAATCCTTTAACGAGGGGCTACCTGCTGGTTTTCATCTCCTCCAACCCTAGAAGGTGGACGGTCAGTAACCCGGTCACCCGCTGGCTGCAGCGTGGAGGATCTGAGCACACATACAGTCGAAATGAGCTGACGTCACAGGGTTCCTGCGTATGTGTTGTGGGTGTGGCCTGTTGCCGTGGCAGCAGTTCAGGAGAGTCTCCATCGCTTAGATAACCTGAAAGGAAAAACATCACAATAAATCAAAACCTGTTTGACACAGAATTCAAACTCCTGCACTCTGACTAATCTAATCACCTCCTTTACTGGCAGAGCGTCTTCTCGATGATCGGCGCAGAGGTCTGGCTGGAGGGGCGGAGCTATCCAGGTGATATCTGGTGATTACATTCTCATTGGACGATGCTGTATTCTTACTGGTCGACTCGTCCCCGCCCCCTTTGTTGTCGCTTCCTTGGCGATTGGCGCGAGAGGAGCGGAGGCTGAGTTTGCGGCGTAGCTCCGGAAGTTTCTTCATCTTCATCGAGAGTCTCCTCACGGTACCGGGTGATCTCAGCCTGTCAATCACACTGCTGGACACGCCCCCTTTCTTTTGGGAGGCGGGGCTTGAGTCAGAGGGAGGGCAGTCTGACGGAGACAAAAAAAAGGTAAGTAGTTTATGTTTATGTATACATTTAGAATCAGGTTCACAAGTCAAAGAGATGACCTCTTCTTACCTGAGTTTTCAGTCGTGATGTCATCGATGAGGTGGCTCACACTTGGATTGGCGCCCTCTAGTGCACAGTCACTCCCCCATCTCTCCGCTGACCCTGCCTTCACTCCTCCTACGTCTGATTTGGATTCTCCTGCTTTCTTTGTCACTCCTCCTTCTTCCCTTTGGTCCCTCCTCCTCCAGATGTCCTCCCCCCTGCATGCACCTCCTGCGTCCTCCTCTTCGGGGATCGGGTTGTACCAGATGTTGCTGCCGCCGCTCTCCTGCTTCAGCCCGCGGGCCTCGTCTGAAGCCTGAGCCTTTCCTGAAGAGAGTACCCAGGCTCTGCTGCTGCGGTCCAGGCTCTGCAGATAGGCTCGCTGGCCGGACTTTGTGCTACTGACAGAGGGGGAAGGAACATCACTGCTGCCCCCTGCTGGTTTTAAAGCTTCATGGTGGACTGTGGTAGAACTGGCAGAAACACAGGGGTTGTTTGACGTATCCCAGTCCAGACTGGTGCAAGTCCTGTCACCACAACGCCCCATCTGCAAATGAAAACTGAGAGTCAAAGTACT